AAAAGCCTCACTGGCATGATTGAGCAAAAGCCTACAGGAGGTGCAGAAATAAGCCATGGAACTCTGGAGTGGTCCCAGCAGAGAGGCAACAAATGGAGAGTTGTGAAATTGTTTGGCATAATAATCTCTCACATTATTCAGAAAATAAACCTTTATGTATATAAAGTGAGAAACTGGGAGGGAAGGAATGATGAAACAAATTGAACAAAATATAAGTAATTGGTCCATCTGGGTAGAGACATTTGGAAGTTCCTGCAACTTTCCTATAACTTTGAAATCATATCTACCAAACACACACACAAAAACAAAAAAAGAGGTCAATTGTGTCAAAAGAAGTTTATGGGTCTAGTAAAATTTAATTTTAACGTCGAGTTTGGCAGTGTATAGGTCTCAATGGAGGGTGGATTTGAAGGCCTCATTAGAGTGGGTGCAAGAGAGAGCTGAAGGTGAGAAATTGAAGTTAGGAAGCAGAGAGTAAATACAGAACATCTTTTGAGAAATTTTGTTTTGAAGGATAATAATTTAGAAGAAAAGCTGGAGGGAAAGAAGAGCCAAAAGTCCTTAAGGGTGAGACAAATAACAGATGCCTGCCTGCTGATGCTAGTAAACTGGTAGAAGAAAAACTGATGGTAGTGAGAAAGGAGAATTGAGGGGGCAAAGCGCTTGAGTTGAAGGTGTATGTAGGACCTACTAGCCAAGGTATGGGCTGGCCCTTGATACCACCATAGGTGGTTCTTAGGCATGTGGGTGCCGATGAAGGTTGTTCATTCCCTCCACAGAGACCCTCAGGAGCACATCTGTAGCTGACCAAGTTGAGTATATCATGCAATGAGGAAGGACACACACACAGTGCACAACTGGGGTATCTCAGTAAGAAGGCAGTTAGAAAGTACCTGTGACACTGGTTGGATGATTTTGCAGCAGGGCCAGGGAAGGCGAAGTTCACTCTGGATTGAATGTGTTGGGAAGCAGAGACAACTGTGCGGCTGGTAACCTAATAAAACTCTACAGGGAGTGCAGATGCATGAGTCAGGAACTACAATAGTCAGTAGTTAATCATAAGGGCCAGGATTTGGGGGAAGGGATGTTTGGTCAGTTTTGCGGTTTAGACAGTGCTCACATTTTATTTATATAGACTTAATTACAGAGCAGCCATTTTTATCTAGATCCATCTTGGTCAGAGTGGGCTTATCCAATGATGATGTTCTGTGAAGTGGTTTATATTCAATAGAATACCAAGGCCAAGTCAGGTTCTAAGCTGGCCTTTACCCACAGCAAGTCTAGCTGTTGGTGTCAGGAGCTGTTGCTTGTCACTTTCTCAAGGCACCTTCAACTTCTATGGTTCCCAGAAGCCTGGGGATGTTCTCTTCTGATTGTTTTGTCTGTGAAATTGGAAGAAAGGCACCTGAGGAATGTGATGCAGGCAAACTCAGATTTGACAGTGGGAAAGGGTATGTATGATTCAGCAGATAGGCAAATGCTAGGCAGCAGGAAGTGATTATAACAGACTACCAAGTGAGATAGACAGTATACTGTAGTTTTCTGCAGCCTTGCTTATGGGCTGTAAGTCAGATTGGTGTGGAGTCTGGTTTAAGCAGGACTAAGGTTTGGTTAAACCATGGTGGGAGGTTTGAATCCTGGTGCTGCCACTTTAGTAGCTACATGATCCTAATCTCTGTGCCTACGGTGCTATGTCGTGACTAGAGAAAATATTAGTACCCACACCTTTTAAGGATATTGTGAAGTTTTAATGTGTACCAGGTTCCTGGAATACTTTCTAGCTTGAAGCAAGCACTCAGTAGCTATTATGTATTACATCAATCCCCCCTTTGATCACAAAATCAGCAGACTTTCCGATCTACTATTTTAACATCAAGAGTTTTGGTGTGAATGTGTGTGTGTGGGTGAGTGCGCGTGCGTGCACGTGGGTGGGGGATAGAAATAATTCCTTTCCTGTTGTAATTAAATACAGTAGAAAGCTGAACAAATGGAATTAAAGAGATGGGGAGCAATGTGTGAGTTGAGGTCTAACAGAAAACTTGTAAGGAATCAAGGATTCTGGAGTGTGTGTTTTATGGTTTATGATAATACCAAAGTTTGAAAAGGGTCCTAATACACAGAAGCCTTTAAAAACAAGTTCAGTAATTCTGGGCATGGTAGCATATGCTGTAATCCCAGTATTCAGGTGGCTGAGGCAGAGGATCACAAGTTTGAGGCTAGCCTGGACTACAAACTGAGAGCCTGTCTCAAAAAAGCAAAACAAAGACAAAAACAACAAAACCACCAAGTCATCAGGCATATTTTAATTTTACTAAGAAAAAATAAGAACACATATCTCATTATAATATATCATAAAAGGGAAAAATAATTCATGTAATTATGTTTTCAAGATTATTCCTTGGACCATGTACAGTAAGTCAATCTAGTATATGCTCTACCCGAGGCATTCCACTTAAAACTACTTTTCCCATAAACAATTACGAGACTAAACAGTCCATCATTATCTTAAATGCAAAGGTCAGAAAGGCCAAGTGTGGCTTTATTTTCTTGAAGTCAGTAATTCTTGAAGTGTTACCCAAAGGAACATAAAAAAACATCAACTGCAAAAAGTTTTAATTTTAAAGGTTATTAGACAAAGTATAATAAAACGGAAGTTTTGTCAAATATTTAGCTAAAACATGTCTCTAGAAATTCCTTACTCAACATGTAAGATTTATACTAGCACATTCTAATTTTTCTCACTGTTTAATGGAAGGTGTACGCACAGAATACAATAGATATCCTCTATACCTTATAATACAAATGCACACTGACATGTGTGGATTCACAAATACTGAAACTTGTTTACACAAAAGTGATAGCAGCTGGTAGGTCTAATAAAAATTACTAAATCAAACTAGTGAACTAACTACTAAGAATCTTTGGTTTCATATACTAAATTCAAAACCAAATTCTTTATGGACACATCTGATACATAAAATGTTGAAAACTAACAAATAAGTTTATAAACCCTTACCTAAGGAATAGGAATAATTAATGTTTAAAATCTAAGCACTAGTTTATCTAAGTAACTCTCAGCAAGGATTAAGGAATTATGCATTGACTCAAGTCCTATGTAAGTGTGCCTTGATTTATTTCAACTTTGGACAAACATTTTTTGCTGCTTACATTAAAAAAAAAAAATCTTATCCAAAGCTGAGCATGGTGGCACACACCTGTAATCTCAGCACTCTGGGGGCTGAGGCGAGGACTGCCACAAGTTTGAGGCCACCCTGGGCTACATAGCGAGTTCGATAGCCTGACTACCTAGTGAGACTGTCTCAGAAAAAAAAATCTTATCCTGATTTCAGATGAAGTTTTCTATAGCTGAATTTTCTTGAATATTTAAAATACAAAGTATGTTATAAAGCTCAACTGTAAAGCTTAACATTTATATGTAAAAAAACAAGTTGCAAATTAATTGAGAGCCAAAGTAGGTAATGAATTGTACTATGTTCTAGAGTCAGCAGTGTGCCTGCACCTAAACACAGGTGGTCTTATCTCAGATGGCAATACAGTGCTATTCTACTCTTCAGGAATATTGGTCGCTAGACTTCACTTATCTTTACTACAAATCCATAATTTAGAGCCAAATAGTATTCTAGCTTTTATATATTTTCAGAAAAGTCTGTTTAAAAGTTCTATGTTAGTGCTGGGGATTTAGCTCAGTGGCACTGCACCTGCCTTGCAAGTGCACAGTCCTGAGTTCCATCCCCAGGGGGGAAAATTCTATATTAATTTTTCTTATAAACATCCTGTAAAAGCTAAAAAGAACCAGATGAAAGCTATTCTAGGTAAGATGTAATCTCAGTTGCTCATTCTCATGTAGACTGAAGCATATAGTTATAGAAGCACTAAAACTGCACACTTCTCAGCATGTTGTTCTCTGTGCAACATGGGCACTGCAGGAGAACCTGTCAGAGAGGCAGGCTCTCAGACCCCCCTCTCCCCCCACCTCAGTATCAGCATGAGTTAGTTCTCCAGATGATTCTGTTGTCCACTCTAAGGCAGTAATTGTGAGGGAAACAGACATGTGTTTCAGAATCACCTGGGTACCTGCTGAAACTATACCCAAGCTCTGCCCCTGCTGGTCTAGAGGGAGGGGGAGCAGAGGCATCTCCATTTTAAAGACAGTTCAAAGTGATTCTGAGGCAACCTTCTGGTTGAGAATCACACCAGAACTCCAGGAGGCTGAGGCAAGAGGATCCCAAGTTCAAGTCCAGCCTGGACCACTTAGCGAGACTGTCTCAAAATAAAAAGTTAAAAAGGGCTGAGGATGTAGCTCAGTAGAAAGACTCTGGGTTCAGTCCATAATACTGGACAAAACAAACAAACGAAAACCAGCAACCAAAATAAATTTATCTTTGAAAAATCATTTAACCAAAATCTTAAAAACTTTTTTCCCCACTGTCAACAAACCTTCCTCATTAGTTATCCAGTTTCTTTCACAACACAGGCAGTGAAAAACAGACGAGAAAAACATTTTTACTTTAATTTTCCCTATGAAATAATTACTGAAAATAAATTTATAGAATTTCTTCTTTATTCAAAAGAATGAGAAACTATTACTGTTTTCCAAAATAGTTTTTTGCCCCCCCTAGATAAAAGTTCTTATGGAAAGCCCAAATGTTTACTTTCCCAATTTGAAGCTATTATGGCCACTTCCTGTATTCTTAAATATTAAAAAGTATAAATTTAATTTATAGCCAATAATTGATACTTCTTCAAATACTAGTTTGTAAATAATAAAAATATGCAACTTTTGAAAAGACTAATTCAGCATGTATTTCTGCTTTTAATAAACATTTAAAACAGGCTCCTAATTATATTTATAATATTAAAATAAAGTACAGGTTTTACACAGAATATTGTTTGGGGTGATTTTATTTTCACAAAAACAACATAAAAACAAAAACCTTTCATCTTTAATTAAAATAATCAAATTGTGACCTAATTCTTTGTTTTTTGAGACAGACATGATTTTATTCATCTTTTAAATGTATTAACCAACTATGCTTTTCAATGTTCCAAATGGCAATGCCATTTCAAACTTTTTTTCCCCATGGTACACACTAAGCATTCTTAAAATAATAAGTTATATTCAAAATTTATTATGAATCAATTTCAGTAGACAGATGAGAAGATAAAAACAGAAAGCTCCTTTTTCCTACAGAGAAATATTAAATAATGTGTATATGGATATATGTATATGAATAACTTTTTATTGTTACAATTCTAGAAGGAGCATTTAGAAATTTTATCCTCTTACGGGGTGTGGCAGCGCACATGTAATCCCAGCTACTTAGGAGGATCACAACCTAGCAAGAGCCTGTCTCAAAATAAAAAATAAAGGGCTAAGGATGTAGCTTGGGGTAGAATACCTCTGGGTTGAATCCACAGTACTGAATCAAAGCATCCATGATGAGTAGATACTATTTGTTATTTTCAAATTTTCCCCTAAAATCTTCAGTATATTCTACACAATAACTGGTCTCTTTAGCCAGTTATTACCCATTTTACAGGATTAAAACAATCTTCAATACAAAAAGAGTTGTCACTAGTACTAACAACATTTAAAGGAATATTATCATAGGGGAATCCCAAAATTATACCAAGTAATAAAAAGCATCACTGTTGGAATAAAGGTATACTCTCTATAATTTTCAAAAGTAAAACATAACTTATTTGATTTTTATACTGTTGAAAGTGGCTTTTACTTGTCTAAAGGCAGCAGTAGTATAATTCCCATTATTCTCTCATAATGTTACAGTTAAACCTTGATTTAGTTCCCCCACAAAAGGGAAAAAATTTCCTGTTTATTATAAAGGAATTTCAAAACATTAAAATAAAATGAAGCAGATATTTAAAACAAAGTTTTAAATACTGGTAATTTTTCTTTGGAGTTTTGGTTAAAATTTGGTTCTACTCAAAATCCACAGAAATAAATTTCAGCGAGAGAAGATTATCATCTGTAACAGCAAATAATAAATACCTTGGCAAGTATGAACAAGAGTAGGAGAGAAGGCATCTACAAAAGTATTTTTTACATCTCTTGGGGGTAGTAATGGGCTACAAATGAGGCCTGAAGTATTATGTTACTTGATGATAGGGTACTGTGGACCTTAACAAGAGAGTCAACACATCTTCCCCCAACAGACATGTAGATTCATGGAAAAATGGGAAGAATAAAACACAGATATACTCTCTTTTGTTTTCTCAAAAAAAAAAAATGGGTTCCTTAATTTATGGAAAGTACTTCTCAGTGTGATGCTTTTATTCTGTTATGGGAGGAGGTCTTGAAGCAGATTCTGGCCATTCGTACATATCTGGCAGCAGAGAATCATATTCACTTCGCCATATTCTTTCTTTAACATATTTGGCCTTGTCTTCAGGTTCAGGGTATCGGAAAGCCATTTTGTTAGCATATAAGTATTCTGTAACCTGAAAAAGAAGTAAGATCATTGTGTAGGCTCTGCATATTAACCTATCAGAAGAAAGCACTGTTATTTCATAAATAAATGAATTTAGAAGAATGGTTCTTTTTCTTTTAAAAATAAAAATACTTGGGCCAGGAATTTAGCACAGTGGTGCCACTGCCTGCTTCATAAGCACAAGGTCCCAAGTTCAATCCCCAGTACAAAAAAAAAAAAAAAAAAAAAAAAAATAAAAAAAAAAAAAAATTAAAAAAAAAAAAAAATTAAAAAAAAAAAAAAATTAAAAAAAAAAAAAAATTAAAAAAAAAAAAAAATTAAAAAAAAAAAAAAATTAAAAAAAAAAAAAAATTAAAAAAAAAAAAAAATTAAAAAAAAAAAAAAATTAAAAAAAAAAAAAAATTAAAAAAAAAAAAAAATTAAAAAAAAAAAAAAATTAAAAAAAAAAAAAAATTAAAAAAAAAAAAAAATTAAAAAAAAAAAAAAATTAAAAAAAAAAAAAAATTAAAAAAAAAAAAAAATTAAAAAAAAAAAAAAATTAAAAAAAAAAAAAAATTAAAAAAAAAAAAAAATTAAAAAAAAAAAAAAATTAAAAAAAAAAAAAAATTAAAAAAAAAAAAAAATTAAAAAAAAAAAAAAATTAAAAAAAAAAAAAAATTAAAAAAAAAAAAAAATTAAAAAAAAAAAAAAATTAAAAAAAAAAAAAAATTAAAAAAAAAAAAAAATTAAAAAAAAAAAAAAATTAAAAAAAAAAAAAAATTAAAAAAAAAAAAAAATTAAAAAAAAAAAAAAATTAAAAAAAAAAAAAAATTAAAAAAAAAAAAAAATTAAAAAAAAAAAAAAATTAAAAAAAAAAAAAAATTAAAAAAAAAAAAAAATTAAAAAAAAAAAAAAATTAAAAAAAAAAAAAAATTAAAAAAAAAAAAAAATTAAAAAAAAAAAAAAAAAAAGATTAAAAACAAGACAAAACAAACCAACTTTAGGGCTGGGGACTTAGCTCAGTGGTGCCTGCCTCGCAAGTGCAAGGTCTTGAGTTAGATCCCTGATACAAAACAAAACAAAACAAAACCAACAACTACAAAAGAAAACCAAAAAAAATTTCATTTCAAAACAAAGTTAAATGATACAATAAAAATCACCTAACAGATCATATAATATACTTTAGTCACCTCTCCTGATCTCCCAATAATCACATTGCCCCAATACTTCAACCCAATAAACAAAGTTAAGTTTTATCATGTATCAGTTCAGCAGTTGTACCTGGGCGATTTGCCTAGCCCGTCATTCCTCTCAGCCCTGCAGAAATTGTGGGCTTAGAGGGCCATGGACTATAGAAGACTATTTCTAGTCATGACTGACTTGACTGGGTGAAAACCTAACCCAAAGTGAGCCAGATATTTCTGCTCTATAACTGTGATTGAGAATCATAGACATTATTATAAACCAGGTGTTAAACAGGGGAAATAAAGTGGCTTGAGTGCATTTCTGATCTCTGCAACCAAACACACCAGGATGGGTGATAAGAATAAATCCTCCGAGCCTTAGTCTGATGTAAAATGAAGAGTGTGGAAATCTTCCCACAGGCTAGCACTGTGCCTGCCATACAGTTACTTTCACAAATTATGGTTTTATTCCAACTTGGAAAAAAAAAAAAAGACAGGCATGTAACCCCAGCACTCTGGGAGGCTGAGATAAAAGGATCACAAGTTTGAGCTCAGCCTTGACAATTTAGTGACTTAGCAAGACCCTGTCACAAAATTTTATGTCTCGGTATGTAGCTCAGTGTGAAGACCCTGGGTTAAATCCCCAGCACAAGGAGAAAAAAGTGTCATGAGATATTGTTAAAAAAATATCCTCCTCTAATTCCCATCCCAAATTGTGACCACTACTAATTTCTTCTTTCAATCTTAACAAATTAGTAAAATGGTGCTTAAAAAAAATAATACTTAATCCCAGCACAAGTTGAAGAAGCCAGCCACCTCCAGAGACCAATAGCCACAGATAAAGAAGCCTCAACAAATGGCTCTTTCTCCAGCCAAATAAATAGAAGAGCAGTGGACAAGAAAGAAAAAAGTTTTAGACAATAACCATTCTATGCCAACCAATACCCCCAAAATACAATACTATGCTCCATTCCACCTATGTTAACTCAGGCTGTAAAGAGTAACCCAACAAATCACCAGGCAGATGACAAAGAAGGCCAAGGAGCAAGCTAGAGCTTTCATCCCCACTGGCCAGCAACAAGGACTGTGTGTGTATGTGTGTGTGTGTGTGTGTGTGTGTGTCTAAATGTTGCTGGTATCACAACCTTGTGGGCTCAAGTGACCCTCCCACCTCAGTCTCCCCAGTAGTTGGGAGAACAGGCACATCCCACTGTACTCAGCTAGCAACAGAGATTTTGCTTCCCGCTCCAGTCCCCTTCCTACAGTAGCAGAGATCATGTGGAGAGCATGGATTTCTACCTCTAAACGATGCCAGAAGTATGGAACAGTCAGGACTTTGGTAATGATATCCTCTGGTAACAAGGTCACCAAACTGCAGTGTTAGTAGAGAAAAGCAATGACAAGGAATGGCCTTCTCAGGTGTCAGTGGAGGCTGTGTACATCTATTTCTCCCTGCAGTGGCATGGCATCACATACACTCCCTCGCCACAGCAGTGTCAGAGAAGGTCATATAAACAAGATTCAGAATCTTATAAACATTGAGGTCTTAAAAAACAAAACAAAAAAACCTATGCATTATAACAGAAAGAGATCAAATTATAGGAAAAAGAATCAACAAATGTCAAAATAAAGGGGTCAGAGATGTTAACATTAACTGACAAAGGTTTTAAAGCAGCCATGATAACCATACCTGGGAAAGCAATTATGAACATGCTTAATACAAATAAAAATTAAGAAGTCTCTGCAAAGAAACAGAAACTATCATCAGTAAAGAAACAGAAGACAGCTGGGGATATAACTCAGTGGCACCACACCTGCAAATGAAGGTTCTGAGTTCAATCCCTGGCGGAGGGGAGGGGAAAGAAGGGAAAGGAAGGGGAGGGGAGGGGAGGGGAGAGA